GATAAATATGACTTATTAGGGAAGGGACCCTGTCAGCACCCGTCACATCTCATAAATATCCTACGGTTCTTCGATAACTTTGACTAGTGTGGGCATGAGGTGTTAGACTCATGAAACCAGCACAGATTAGTCCTGAGACATTTGAATGTGATGCCTTACTAGAGAGACTAAGCAGCAGACTGAGGACTCAGATCCTCGCAGGGACAAGTTATTTAGAAGATGAAGGAAAGGATAAGTCTGGGGATGTCCGACTGATCTCACAGCCAAAGTCACCAGTAAGGTCTCTGCGTGGAGATCCATGCTCTTCAACAAGCGATCCAGAAAAGGGACTGAACAGTGAAATAACAAAATCCGCTGATGCTACCAAGCTACTCAAGGTTGCAAAAATGAGGAACAATTGTGAAAAGCCCCAGATAGCCCTTATGAGACTGACTTGGCCACTGAACAGGTAGACAAGATTCTCTAGAGTTAACATATGAAATGATGCACATAGGGAGAAAAAAAATATCCAGATTAATGTATAAAGCGGTGGGTTTTAGGACAACTATAACCAGGCGGAAATTGTATCTTGGGTTTACAACAAGTAGTTTTCATCAAAACATCAGTTCATTGCTGAATAGCAACTAAAACAAAAGAGAATGCTAGAAGTTATGAGGAAAAGGAGAGAGACCATCAATACACCCCTGTGGAAGTCTCTGGTTCACCAGCACCTTCAACAACGTGCAGTTCTGGACACCATCTCAAGAAAGATGCAGGAGAACTGGAAGAGACCCAAAAAAGGTGACAAGGACAATCACATGTACAGAGCAGTTCCTCCCAAGGTATTAGTAAATAAGCATCTGCTGCTAGGCAAAGCCTGACACAAAACAAGAATTTTTCTAAGTGTCAGTGTCAGACATTAGTGCCACTGTAAGGGAAGCAGGAAGGAATAATAAACATGTACTATAGCTTTGCTTGTGCAAAGGATGAGAGGCATATTCTTGGCATAGAAGTCAAGGGAAATAACAGGCCTAGCTGCTTCCAGCAGCAAACGTGTAGGCCAGCACAGCAGCGGCAATCTGATACACTCAGTTCCACTTTCCAAAGGATACTATAGAGTTTTCGGTCCTTGGACTCAGATCGCATGCGGCTCAGCTGCTGCTTATGACACCGCAGGCTCCAGGGGTTATAGCTGATCTTTTCAGAGCTCAGACCGCTGTTCCCATCCAACATCTGAAATGGAACATCTGAATGGATGTGCAAGTCCACTCTGGGACTCTTCATTTCCTGGATGCTGCTGATATAAAGAACAGAACAAGCTTGTCTGTTAGAATCCATAGATTCTTCAGACAGCTACAACAATCACACACAAATATGCCTCTTGCACAGGACCGTCTCCTGTCCCTTCTCCTGCTGCACACTTCACACAACATAAACCTGCCAGCTTCCTAACAGCAAATCCTCACTTACATGCTAGGCTGCAGAACCATGCTTAAGGGTGCTGCTGTCTATCCCACATCTAGGCTAGGTTGTGCTGTACTTGACAAAAATCAGCAGAAACATCTCCTCTTTCTCAGGGAGCTCATGCTGGGGTAATATAGGCAAAGAATATAGGTAAAATATAAGTAATATAGGCAAAGACCTATATTCTAGATACCCCTGGAAGAAACCTCTGGATTGGTGACCAGATGGAGTAAAGAGTGTTTGAATCATCTCCACACGCTTTAAAGAGAAAAAGGAGAAGCCTGGGTGGTTTTTATGTGGGTTCTTTTTTCCATGAGTAGGAAATCCTTGCTCTTGTCTATTGGCCAGCAGACACAAAAGGACTCACCACCTTGTCCAGCACTGTTTTGACTGTGAAAGATGACTCTGTTTTAGTAGCTTACCAACACAACAAGCAGAAAGAGCTGCAATGTTTACAGCTAGTCCTTTGGTTCCAATTCCAATAAAACAGCCAAGGGCTATTCTGTGTCTGAAGCACTTCACTTGGACACGTTTGTCCTGAATGGGACAAAACTCCCGACAAGGTTTGCAGAGCCATAGTCTGGGCAGCACCCTGGGCTAGCACATGCAAGACAGCCGAGCTATTGTGTGGAAACACAAAATACCCTCAGTGAAGAAAGCATTATAGCTGAAAGGGGAAGAGAAACTGCGCACTCAGTACATTTTCATTGGGCCCCCAAGGCTTTTACCTTTCAGTGCCATCACTGGCCAGGCCAGGTTTTTCCTCTCTGTGCTCAGTGCCACTGCTTGATCTATGAAGGCTCCGACGCGAGTGCTTGCGTCGTGGCTGGTCCCTCTCTGGCATGTCATCCTGTTCCAAAGCCTCATTCTCCACATAAGGATATGCCACCAGGTTAATGTAGCCATCGCTGTCTCCCTCAAAACAGACAGACACCACACCTGCCAGGAAGAAGCAACGTATCAGCCATTCACAACAGTTATTTCCCAGGGAAGGGAATTCACGGTCAGCAACATCCAAATATTCAACAGAACAGAGGAAAAAGACATCAGAAGGCAGCAAAGCAAATCCAGACCAACGAAAGGAGGTTAAAGAACTCAAGGGGAAAACTGAAACACTGTTAACATGACACAAAGGAGAAATCCCTCAAACTGTGCCCTATGTCACCACCTGAGCAAACGGTCAGCAGTGGCGGGGGAAGCTGTGCCATCCACAGGAAATTGAAATGTGCTTAATACATGGGACTTTTAGCTCAGTGCCCTAACAACTTACTGAGCCGTGTCAGTGAGAGTGCAGCTGGTTTTTGAGGGTAGTGATTATTATCCTCTCTTCAGTTCTGCAGCCCCCAGTGCAAAAGAGATGTCAAACTGGAGAAAGTCAAGTGTAGGCTACCAAAACGAAGGGGCTGAAGTATATGAAATATGTATGTAGCTCATTCGGGCAAGTATCTATGTCCTGCAGAACTGTTCCTGCTGTCTACAAGGACATCCCTTGCCACGGAGAAGTGTACTTTCTCTGTTCAAAAAGAGCTCTCCAGCATCTGAGTTATGAATTACAGAGTTTTAAGGCTTAGGTGACAACTGCTGCTTTGTACCTGAAGTTAGCCAGTCTTGCAGAAAAGGGATCTGCAAGACCCCAGGGGCCTCTAGTTACAGGGACAGGAGGTCATGGAAGCAAAACCACCTGAGCCAGGCACAAGCAAGCAGGACCATTTTTGTCCTGTCCAGTTTTACCTCCTGAAGGCTCCTGGAAAACACCACAGTCCAAAGGAAGGCACAGATCTTTCACAGCACAGACTCTGAAGATAGCTAACCAGTCAGTCATGGAGCAGAACAGCTAGCACTTCCCATTAAAGTTGCAATCATCATCTTTGGGATTCCCCCAGCCCTGAAAGTGGGGCTATCAACCCATCTCCTAATTTGAAATGATAAAATCTTTCATTAGCTTGTCGCCAGTCTCAAACAGCTGCCAGGGGTATCTGATGCCAGATGTACTGAATCCAAAAATTCTGACAAAAGTGAGGAAATCTTATACTGCTCAGCTGATGCAGACCATCACGCTACCATCCTCTTTCATTATCTGCACGTGACGCTAAAACAGGCTGGAAAAGCTCAACAAGGGTTCAGAGCAATTCAAGACTCCAGCATGTCACTATACAAAATGCCAGTTCAAATGCTCTGGCTACTTGGCCATATTCCTCAACCCACCTGGATGAAAGGGTATATTAGATTAACGCGAGTGTTCAGAGAGGGAATGCCATCCCCGGTATTTCTCTCCCCAAGAATAGCAGGGAGAGCTGCTGGTTCTAGCAAGAATCTACCTTGCAGGACTCAGAGATGAAATCCTGCTTTGGGGTGGAGGGGCGTGTGACATACCTTCAGGCTACCAGGAAGGACCTCACTACGACATGGTAGGTCTCAATCTGGGTTATCAGCTTCATTAGTTTTAAGCACATCTCCCAAGGAAGGCCTGACATCACCATCAATTCCAGTAACCACACACAGGCTCTCTGATGGGTCGCCAAAGCACCACATGGCCCGAGTGTGGCTTGAGGATACAAAAAGACCCGTCTGTTCGAGATGGTAGCTGTCCACGATCTGCCTATAGACACAGGTAAGCTGACACTTCTTTGAGACCTTCAGGGTGCACACAGATCAAATGGCAAGACCCTGAGCAGATGGTGGTCCCAGCTGTCTGTGATCCACAATCCTGCCAGAGCCATGCTGTGACAAAGCAGCAGAGGGAATCTGAATACTAAGTGTCCTCCAGAACGCTACGTGCCACCATCACCATCCTGAATCTGAACACGTCGCCAGAGGTACATTGAGCTTTCGAAAGATAAAGGCAAGCTGCCAACCTCCTACAATGATAAGGACACTGGAATTTTCCATTCCTTTGATGTGGCTGGGAACAAAGGCTTCACCTCAGCGCTGAGAAGTGAACACTTCCTGCTTCAGCAGCTTTCTGACACGGGTCAGTAAAAGAGATGGGATGAAGAAGCAGTAGATTACCAGACTGGAATGTGCAAATGCTCAGCATATTTATGACCTAACTTCACGTGCTCAAGGTCAATTGCCATGGCAGTAAGTGATAACACATCGATAACCTGAAGCTGCAGACTACAACTATCACTTCAGATTATCTATCTAGAAAGAACAGCACATTAAACTCTGGATGCCTGCAGAAAAAGATATCTTCCTCTCCAAAAGCTCCTATCAAATTGCTGGCTTGCAGAAGAGAAAAAATTAGAAAATTAAAATCAGACAAAAAGACAGAAGCATATCAGTAGATCCAGGAAAATGAGAGAGCAGGTCCATGAAACAGGTATCTCCATTCTGCAGTAGCAACAGACCTCACTCACCTTTGTACTCAGGTGTGAACTCCTTCATTTCTGGGGGTAGAGATTCATAGAAGCGCTGTTCTCTGGTAATGAGGGGCTTGCAGACAGTATGGTCATCATAGCGCATCATGCTGCTGTGGCCGCCAACTTGGTGAATGAAAGGCTCCAGCAGGACCCCTCGGTCTCCAGATTGAGTGGCATTCTTGCCATACTTGCCCACTTCCATGGTTTGACAAACACACATTGCGTTGGGCACCAGGTGCACTCTTGGAGCATGGGGAGAGCCACATGGGCTGGGAGGGGTGGCCGAACAATCGACAGGCAGCCAACAACTAAGAAATTCTGACCATTTGCTTCCTTATGATGACCTGAAAAAGAAAAGGAGATTCCTATGAGTGGAAGACCACTTGCATTCACTCCCTATTTCCTAAGAAAAGTTTTTGGTTTATTTTTAGTATTTATTTATACCCATAACTGCTCCTCTTCCATTCTCTATTTACATCCCTCTTGTTCCAGCATGCTCTTCACCACTTCTTTCATCTTGTAGGTAAGCACACACTGATTTGGAGGCAGTATCATCTAGAGTTTCTCCAGTAGAATTGATAAGAGACAGGGCAAGAAGGAGCTGTCAATATTTTGAGCCTCCCATCTTTAGAAAATATTAGTTCCTTACTTTAGTTCCTTTTATCAGTAAGGCGAAGTTATAAGGGAGTACAAATTGTGAGCTACACCACAATTAAAACCAAGCCAACATCCGTCTATCAATAACAGCGACAGAATTAACACAGGCAGAACAAACACCTTTCAAGAATCTGAATTCTGCTCCTCGTGCCTCTGCACTTTTAAGATCTAAATGACTACATAATTCCTGTTCACCTCCCACCATAACACTGTATCTTCCTTTTGTCACTCCTTTCTTTTCAAGGCATGAAAGATTCCTGCAATAAGCGGGCAACATTCATTCTGTCACTGTGTGTATGCTATATCCAAATGTATTCCCCTTGGATTCTCTTCTTTATTACTACAAGTCCTTCAGGACAACAGCTACTTCCTGCTGCTTTTATAGCACCTACTCACACAATAGGCCTATGATTCCTAGAGGTATGCAAGAGACTGCTAAATCTAAGTGAGATTAAAAGTGCTCTGGAGAAGGCAGTTGCCCTTTTAACGTTTGTAAAGTGCCTAGCACAGCCACAGGCTTATGGAAAAAAGTTCATCTTCTCTCCATATGATTTGCTCTTTCCAGTTTAGTTCACAGCTGTTCCTGAGGCTGCTGGGGGAAACGGAGCACAGGATTTCTTCACAACAGTAAGTTATCCAAGCTCTTTAGTACGCAAACCATATGGCACTTAGTTTCTGAATTCACCATATCTCTGGTTTCCTAGCACAGCCACACCTGAGGGCAATATAATTAAAGCCTGATGGATCTCACAGGCCTGAACAAGGGACATGATCTGGGCTGTTCCTCATGCGGCCACAGGACGTCTCTGGAACTACACAACACCGCAGATGGGTGGGAAGGCCCAGGATGAAGATAGGCTCTTCTTCCCCTCTCCAAGCCTCTGAAACTAGGGGTGATACTTCATAATATATTTAAACCACTCTACCCAAAAGCTCCCAGCAACAGGACAGCGCTTCTCTCCCCTTGTCTGCACCTTCCTGCTCTCCCCTTCACACCAGATTTGGGGATTGTATGACTGCACAGTTTGGGTTGAATCATCTTGCTGATCCAACGGAAAGCATTTCCTTTTGTGGTTAGATGACCACAAGATCTCAAAACAGCACAATGAAAAGGGAAGAACATGAATATTTAGGGGGCTTTTAGGATAGGGACAGAGGGGGGAAGAGGAGGGAAAAAAAGCACAATACCAAGAACATGATGGTGGTCCTTCTCAGCAACAACACACACTTTCATCAAAGTATAACGCACCCTTCAAGGTCTGTCTCCCAAACTCACTCAGAAGCAAAGTCGTAACACAAAGACAACACGCTCTGGGTATTCTCTCTCTCTCAACCGGTATACCAACATGAAGAAGTTACAGCAGCTGAGACTTCCCTAGGTAATTTTTTTTAAAGCTTTGTTTAAAGGTATTTAATATCTGTGAACAAGCAAGGTGCCATCATCTTGCAACAGATCAGTGTTTTACAAATTTCAGACAAACACTTTGCAGACTTATCTCCCCAAGCTCACGCAGCTTTATCTTAGATTCAGTTTCTTTTGTTTTCCCAATGATTAAAGAAGGGTTTTCAGTTATTCCAAACAACGTAGGAACAAGCTGAATTTCACGCCTTCCTTTAGTGTAAACTTCATAGAGTAAGAGAGAGAAGATAACAGTAATTAACATACACTCAGGAGATATGTATTTGATTCTCAGGTCTGCTACTAGTCCCAGTCTTCAGCAGAAGTCCATCACAAAATGTCTCAGGGTCTCAGTTCCCCCAGTGAGGAAAGGAAATACAATTATTCCTATTTTACAGAAGGGAGATTAATTATATTCATTAACCTCAGATACCAATAAGATGAGATCTCAAATACCCATACACAACCACCTGCCAAGGCCTCTACAGACTGTTCTCACCGTCAGAAGTGCTTCACCTATGGGCTACAGGCAGATTTTAGCCACCAAGACAATAGATTTGAATCCGTGGCCTACTTTCAGCAGCTTTCTTTCCTAAAGACGAACAGTAACTAATAATAATCCATCTGAATTATTCTGAGGACACTCATTCTGTGGAGTCCCTCAAGCCTTCTCCACTACATGGCCTAGAGATATCCGTGACATGACCGAAGTGGTCCAAGGCCTCCCTGGAAAGTGAAAATGAGGACAAACTGTAACCACCAAGACGTGTCCCAGGCTCACTGCCAGCTACTGAGCTGCCCCAAAGAAAAGCAAAAGGCAAGACGTGGGCTTTATGGACTGCTTTCGTAGTAGCCTTTGGCATTCCCTTACTCTCTTACCCACTAGCATAACAGGAACAGTGAACATGTAATCAGTAATCCCTGCATTTCAGTAAGGGTCACACAGCAGCAGGTCAGAAGATGATGATATTTCCACCAGTAAGATCCTTTGCATCTCCTCAGCAAACCACTGAATAATTTCAGTGGCTCCCCATTAACTTCTTGTGACATCCACAGGAATTCATGTACACAAAGCAGCAGTCCAGGCATGTTTGGTCCTCTGAACTATTAACAGCTCTACTCAAAGGGCAACTCAACATAACAAGTTTCAGATATGCAATCACATCTGCAAAGCAGTGACAATCACAAAGAAAACATTCTGTGGCCATGATGCGAGAGAACAATTTGGGCACCAGGCGAGGGGAGACACTCCCAGCTTGGTTACAACTGCTCCACACATTCATCCATGCTAAAGAAAACAGCAAATATATATAATATTTTCCATGTACAAGCGTATGGGAGCAGATTATTTGCGGCAAGTATATTTCACAGACAATGGGGTTTTTTTTGTTTTTTTGCTTTGTTTTGTTTTTTTTTTTTTTACAAGGAAGCTATCTACAGGGCTTTCAAAAGGGACACCTTATGTCTCAAATACACAGCTTTGAGTAAATCTGATGAAAAACACTAAGTAAAGGGTTATTACTAAACATGGACAATATTGTTGAATAAAGATAGAAGAATCCCAGCAGCTTCAAACAATTATAAAGCAGAAAACTATTTGACGGCCTAAACATTACTCATCCTTCCTCTGTTAAACAGAGGCATTGGTTCAACTATTTTAGCTGGCCTCTTGTAATATTTAGAGTCCTTGCAATTATACTATAAAATATAATGCATATTCCATGCAAATCAACTTGAGAAAGATCAGTCCATCCAAGCAGGTCCTTTGGTACCGTCCAACATTTCCATTATACATCAAATAGAGTGATGACATTTAGGCTAATTTAGCATCCCCTCCTCCCACACACTGATCTACAGTTAGCAAGACAGATCGCTCACTTTATTAAGCCAGAACTCAGGAGGTGGTGTGAGGGGGCTTGAGAGCACAGTTATCAATGATTACAGAATGGCATGCTGTATCTGATATTCCATTATCCTCCCCAATTTAAAAAAAGAAAAAGAAAAAGAAAATTTGCCTGGAAGGGAACAGACTCTGTTACATTTAAGTCTACATGCCTGTCAGCATATCTACTCCAATTTGTTTCTCAACTTCATGGCTCAGTTTCAACACTAGCTTTTTTAGCAGGATGGGTATAAAGAATAGCAATAGATTGTTTTTTCTCCATGCAGTAACACCTAAAATCTTTCTAAAGAAAAGCCAGGGAAATGCAGATGAGGTAACTTTGCTCTTAAACCATGAAAAGGGGTAAAGTCTGCCCTTCATACTGATGCTACCCTCAAGTCAGGCATATAGCACTCCACAGAAACAAATAGCAGAGAGCTCTTGAAGATCCAGCCAGAGTACCATTAGAAATTACTGACAGAAGTATAAGGCACTTGTATAAGGTCCCAGTTTTAAGCAATTTCAAACTTTGGGGCAAGGCACCAGCTCTTGCAAAAATTTGTTAGCAAAGATGTTCCATACCAGAGACACAGGACTGTGTGATCATCCCTCATTGACTCCACTGCAGATTAAACACTGCCTCCCGCTTCCCGGCCCTCTGTAGCTTCATGGTCACGAGAAGACGGCAATCAGCTTCCCAGAGAAGCAGTTGCACCCTACTCTCACATCCAGCCTTGTACCAGCACAAGAATTCCTACAGCTGCACAACAAACTGGATCAAGACACTCATTTCTTTGCTAGGTTGGTTCAGTTTCCCAGTGCCATTCAGTGTGCAATCGTACAAATGTCTGCGCTGACCCAAAGACAGGGGCAGCAAGACGACAGCAGAAACGCCTGCTTCTGTCACGTCACAGCTATCAGAAAACCACAGCCAGAGGACACCAGCACAGGAACCAGGG